GCACCAAACAACCCCCTAATAATGTTATAAATCAAATACTCTCTTATCCCTACATTTTAGAATAATATCCACGTCCCACATGTTATGGTGCTTCTTTTATTATTGTTAGTGTCATTTTTTATTTGTCCCTTGAATTATTGTCTTGTTAATGTTTAGTAGAATTGATTTGTCATTTGATTCAAAGTACAATGTGAATGATTATGTTGGAAATTAATTAAAGCAAGAGAACCATCACCAAACAGATTGGCATTAGTATTAAATACACACTTTATTATTATCGCTAAATCGCAATTATGAGAGTCATTAACACCCACTAAGGTTAGGTGCTCCTCTGAAATCGACATTTGAAAATTAATTAATCAAGAGAAAGTTTTCTTCTACTTTCTCTCCACAAATTTCCCTTTAAATTCTAAATTCAAACACAGTCTTACGACATAAAATGAGTAATTCTAAGTATTCAAAATTAATATCCACAAATAAATAAAAAAATAATATGTAATTCAAATTTTTTTAAGATGTGGACCTCATCGTACATATATATTTTTTTTGATAAAATTTTGAATACCAACTCTAAATACCTAAAATCACTGATATAAAAGAAATCTATATATAAAGGAATAATCATATAAATTTGATGGCAATGTTTCTAGGATCTATTTGTCTGAAAGGCTAATATAAATGGCATATACATATTAAAATAAGGGCTGTATATATTTGATCAATCATGATTCTAAATCTTATTTTTAAGTTCAATCAATGCCAAAATAAAAACTAAATGGACTGCACATAAATAAATATTAATATTTGCAATAGGTTTTGGAAGAATTGCAAAAAAACAGCATCAACACAAAATAATTGCAATGACATAGAAGTACAAACAATTTATGCATTAAATTGTGCAACTATTTGAGTTTATACCATTTTATTGCAATTGTCCCATAAGATTTTTTATCTTAAAATTCATTTAATTTATGCCAATTTTTTAAGAGAACTACTTTGAATTTCTCCAGAATAAGCACAAAAAAAAAAAAAAAAAAGGATTCAATGAAAAATAATGGTAAATCAAGTTAAAAAAAAAAAAAAAAAAAAAAAAGGATTCAATGAAAAATAATGGTAAATCAAGTTTTAAAGATCTTGTAGGAAAAGGACAAAAAATGCAGAGATTGGGCTTTAAAGATTGTGGTTGGGCTTAACTGAATTGTGTGCCAACACATAAAGCATTAAATGGGTCTTTGTTACATCTGGGCCCAAATGAAATTTTGGTTTCATTGGCCAGTAAAATCTAACCTAGCCCAAACACGCATGCCAGTTGATGCACCCAAGCCCAGAATCTCAACACCCTTGTCCCAAAACTTTTTAAAAAATGGGCAAATTATCAGTAAGTCAGTTTTGAAAAATATGTGTTCTATTTAATCTTAAAATTTTTTAAGTAGACCAAAACATCTTGTGTCCATTTATCTTATTTAATCTTAAAATTTTTTAAGTAGACCAAAACATCTTGTGTCCATTTATCTTCTTCTCTTTCCGTAAACATTGCTTCTTCTTTTTATCTCTCTTTCTCTAATATCAATAACGACCGCAACCATGCCTTCTTTCCTTTTTTTTTTTTTGTTGTTCTAATCTACAACCACTGGCGATCACCATTGATTGAGGTTCACTAGCAACCACCGAGTACCGACTCCTTACTTCGCGCTCGCCAACGACAAAGAAGATGAGTAGATCTACTCAAATCTGATAGATCTTAGTAGATCTACGTCAGATTCGGCTAGATCTAAATCAAAAATAGTTGCAAAAGTACGAGCTTCTCTCTATATTTATCTCTTTCCTTTAATCTCTCAGTTTTTTTAACTTTTTCTGTACTATACACTTCTATTTTTGTATTATAATGGAGAAAATTTTCAAATTTTGAACAAGTTATCTTTGAGTTTTAATTACAGGCAGTGAAAACTGTAAAGTCTTATTGTTTCAATTTTTTTAGTGTTGAAATAAATCATTCTTTAGAATTGTAAAAATTTGCAGTTTCATAACTTTCTTTAGAACTGTAAAATTTTACAGTTTAATAACATGTTTTTCGGTTTGATTAATAAGGACTGAAAAATCTAAAACTCCCGAGATATTGATTTAAGATTATGTTTCAATTTTTAAACATATATAATAATCCTAATTAAACAATCAATGACAAATTGACACAATGATTTAACGTGGAAAAATCACTATCGAAGTTCCTCCAATTATGATAAAAAAAAATCATGGGCTAAAGTCACAAAATAATCTACTAAGAAGACAAACATGAGTTACACATGTGTACCCTAAATTACCTAACAAATCCATACCCGAATTGAACTAAACTCGATGTGTCTTTTCCATCACTGTCTTCACATCAAAATTATCTTGCCCAACATTGAATCCACAAAACTGATATCGAATCTACGATGATGAGTCGCTCTAAATCCACCAAAACTTCAAACCCAAGTTACCCAAAATCTATCGAAGAACGAGTCTCTCTTTTATAAATAAAAGAAAATAACTAAACCCCTTGATGATGTTAATATAAAGTTCATGGATCTATTGATCATTCTTAAATCATCAAGAAAACTCATAAAGCACCCTCAAATATAAAACATTTTGTTTTTTTCTTCTTCTCTGAAAATCTGGACAACTTAAACCCTAAAACACAAGCGAACAATGCACTTTATAATAAACTAGATCGCGAAAACCGCTTGAGTGCACATTTCACCACTCAAGCGGTGTGACTAAAGATGGTGCGAAACATATAGACTAACCGCTCGAACGCAATTTTTACTACTCGGTTGGTAAGACTTTTCCCAAATGTTCAGGCGCTCTGCAAAAATACTAGATGATCATTTTCTTCACTCTAGCAAACAGATGACCACTTGAGCAATCAAACTTCTCGACCCTACATGTGCGCTGCCCCTGACCCGCTATGAGGCGCTGCCCCCTTGATACTCGCGAGCTGACCAGGTAGGTCGATCCCTGTACATAGTCAGCAAAATGACAAACACGAAAGCTTCAACATCACAAACTCCTCTACATAGGCATAACTTAGGTTGGATTTGCATTTAAACACTCATCACTGAAATGAAAGAGCGAATAAAATTATAACTGAAAGGAATTTTGTCAAACGAGATTGTCAATTACAAAAACCTAACAAGGATAAATGCTTAATAGAATCATGCTTTGAAACTGTAACATTTTACAGTTTCAAAGCTTGTTTTTCAGTTTGATCAATATTGGAGATTATTTGCTTAAACATTACAAAAATTGAAAATAATACATATTTTTTTTCCCATTGTTACTGTTTGTTGTTCTTACGTTTTTTTTTCTTCTTTCAATTTATAATATTTAGCATATTTTGCTATGTTTTTTTACTCTAATTTCTCAATTTATTATTTTTTTCTAGCAATATTTTGGAGAGTCTCCGATGACATTATTGACGTCCAACGAATATTCTAGATATTCCGACGACTTCCGGTGATGTTCAAAACACTTTGACGAATTTTTGGTGATACTCCGGTGACTTTCTAGTAATGTTGAATATTTCGGCGAGTCTCTGATGATCGTCTGACGGAAGTCTGGCAGTGATGGGATGTAACAATTTCTTTAAATTTAAAAAAATAAATAAATAATAAGATTTTTTTGTAATAATTAAAAATATGTAAGACTAATTGATGTAAGTACTTTATTTTCAGACTAAATGAGTTTTACATTTTGTGTGTGACACCTATCAGTAAGTCTCCCTAAAAAAATTAATAATAATAATAATAAATTAAAAAAAGAAAGAACTTACAATTCGTTTGTTTGGTTTATAAAAATTTAGACCTACGATCCGTTATTTTTTATAAACACGTTTTCTTATGTTGGTGACATTAAGAAGGTGGCTAATGTCTAAGCAATGATTTGGGCATGTGGTGATTCACATCTACTTACGCTCTATTTGGTTGATAAATTTAGAAAGTGATTTAAAAAAAGAAATGAAAAGGTATGTGAAATTAAATAAAATATATTTACATTTCAATTATCTTTTTTATTTTTCTTTCTAAATTTATTCTCAAATTATCTAACCAAACACAGTATTAAGGTATTTTGTATACTCGTCTTTTATTTCAATGTCAAACAATGTGAAAATTGTGTAAGAACAAAAAATCTCATGATTTATAAAATCTATAAGTCGACAATTAATTAATTATGGCTGTTTGGGATCTCTCAAATAAGTCACCGCTTTTTCGATTCTTTTTTTTTTTTTTTTTTTTAGTATTTTTGTTTTTTAAATTATGTTAAAAGTTTTTATTTTTCCAGTCTGTCTTGTGTTGATGAATTTAAAAAATTTAAAAAAAATTTAAAAAAACCAAAATAAGTAAAGAAAGGTTAAAAAATTTTTACTTATTTTTGTCCTTTTTTGCCATTTTTGAAAATTAAAAAAAAAAAAATTAATTTGCCGTTCCATCTCATTGAGTAGAATCGACAAGCCTAAGGCATTTTAATTTTTTTTTTTTTTAAATTCACTAAAGACGAAAGTAAACCTCCCAAAAAAGCATACCCTAAGGATTATTTGCAGCATGAAAACTGACAATAAAAACTAGAATATCAAAATAATACAATCAGATTGACAGGTAACTAGGAGAAAACATAACACAATCAAAGCGGAGAATTGTTCTACAAAATATGTTACTTTTGCTCAACATTAAAAAGCAATAAGAGAACACATTATCTATTTTGGCACTTGAAATACATAAGAAAGAAATGGTGGTAAATAGGTAGGAAAAAGTTACAGCACATAGGAAAATTAAAAAAAAAAATTAATTTGCCGTTCCGTCTCATTGAGTAGAATCGACAAGCCTAAGGCATTTTAATTTTTTTTTTTTTAAATTCACTAAAGACGAAAGTAAACCTCCCAAAAAAGCATTCCCTAAGGATTATTTGCAGCATGAAAACTGACAATAAAAACTAGAATATCAAAATAATACAATCAGATTGACAGGTAACTAGGAGAAAACATAACACAATCAAAGCGGAGAATTGTTCTACAAAATATGTTACTTTTGCTCAACATTAAAAAGCAATAAGAGAACACATTATCTATTTTGGCACTTGAAATACATAAGAAAGAAATGGTGGTAAATAGGTAGGAAAAAGTTACAGCACATAGGAGGATATAAAAAGTTCCCATCTAGAAATTAAGTTTTCACATCTAGTTAAGGGTTTCTCTCTTCTCTTTATAGTTCATGCATAATTAATTTTGAGCCTCAATTTCTTGGAGCTGCATCCCTCGTCTCTCGAGTAAATAATACTTCTTATGCTTTTTTATTTTTTTCTTTGGTTCTTTTCTCATACTGTATAATGTTGTTGAATTGTATCAATGTCCAGACCTTTCAGTTTCACCACCGACTCTACGTGTCCCTTGAGTGTGAGAAGCTCCCGAAGCCTACAAAACCATAGCGTAACGATGATGATGATGTCTTGTCTACAAATCAATATATATATAGTGTTGGAAATGAAATTTTTTGCTTACCTTGCAACCTCAGCTCTCCTCTTTGCTTGTTCAGCAATTTCAGACAGTTCTCGGTAGCTGTTTTTCTCGTTGAAAAGAGTAGAGGTTTCAGGTGGTTGAAGTCCATGTAGAGTCCTCTGAGCAAGTGCCCATTGAGCCTCCCTTTCCTCTTTTCCATAATCTTTCTTTGTGGTGAATGCGGTCTGTTCGTGGTGTTAGTCAAAAGAAATATGTCATTTGAATGCTTAAGTTGAGTGAGTAAAAGCAACAAAGAGTGCAATGCTAGTAGTTCCAAAATAGACTCATTCAGCTAATAACGCGTTATGTACCTTGTTCTCTATCATGTTAACCCAAGCTTTTCCACTTAGAATGTAACGAATGGTGAATTTCATTACGTCAAGTGGGACATAGAAGACAATACTATAAATCCAGATAACGCCAGCCCATCCCCAACCAACTCCTTCAATTTTTGCAAAACCCCAATTTGCATAAACAGCTATCAGAGTTGCCACCTACAAAGATCATATTATATATTAAGCAAAGCGAAAGCATGGCATATAAGCATTTTCAAACACATTAAAAAATGAATAAAATATAACGCAACGCTTACCAGCTGTGCAACTAGGAAAGCACTGACTAATAACAATCCGGGGCGTTCAAGGTAGGACCAGCTGCGAGATCGAGTGACAAAAATTAGAGCCTGGCTCACAATACTCACTTGGAGGTATAGAGCAGCCATCATTTCATCAGGATTTTGTCTTATAGGTTTTACACCAAATTTATTCTGCATCATCAAGAAAAGGAAAAATGAAAATTAATCAATTTAAAGAAAACCATCAAAAGATTGTCAATCACGATACTGGAAAAAAAATAATAAATAAATAGGATTGTTTCTTACCGGGAAGAAATCAGTATCCCTTATTACCCAGAAAAATATAACAGTCATCAATGCCAAATAACCTCCAAGCACAACACCGGTAGCAAAAATCTCTTTCAGCTTCCAGCTATCAGGCAATGGTGATGGCACAACCCGATCCTTTGAGATTGTCATTATAGTTCCTTAAAGGTACAATAATACATTGTGTAAGTAACCACTCATAAACAACAGAGGTAATTAAAGTGAAAGGAAACAAAGAGATAGAATTATGTATGAAGCCTTACCATCGTTTAGGATGGCAATGATTAAAACCATGAAAGGTGAAAAGTCAAACTTCCATATCAAAGCGATAAGCAAGAAGCCAAACTAAAATATGGGGATAAAAGCACAAAAACATGTTAGTGAGCAACTAAAAATTCATAATGACACTTCACATTGTTTAGACTAACATAGTCAACTTACCACAATACGTAAAGTAATGGAGACTGCATAAATCTGCCAAAATGAAATTGTGGAGAAGTTATAGATAGCCTAGTCAAAATCTTATTAACATGGGGAAAAAAATACAAGGAAAGAATTTTACTGTGTAATTCTTCATCCTCTGGAAAATCGCTCTACTAGTTAGCACTGCACTAATGATAACACTCAGCCCAGGTTCTGTGAGCACAATGTCTGAAGCGCCTCGTGCAGCATCAGTGGCATCAGCAACAGCAATTCCAATATCTGCCTTTTTCAAAGCAGGAGCATCATTGACACCATCTCCTGTCATTCCACAGATGTGCTTACTCTCCTGCAACTTCTTCACGATTTCGTATTTATGCTCTATACAATAAAAATTAAGATGTTAGAAGAAGAACCCTAACTTAAATAAGATAATAATGGCTATGTTTGTAGTTATCATGAACAAAGAACACCCACCTGGGAATACACCAGCAAACCCATCTGCCTTCTCAATCAACTCTTCAATTGGAATGGAAGCTATGGATTCATCCTTGTGTTGACCAAGTAAAGAAGCAGATGGGTACATATTTGTTCCCATTCCAAGTCTTCGGCCAGTCTCCTTAGCAATGGCAAGTTGATCACCTAGTCATAGATAAAGCAATTCAGTGATCAATTAGAGAATAAAAAAATAAGAGAAAATACAATTTTAGAGACGTGAATGAATTGATTACCAGTAATCATTTTGACATTTACACCGAGATGTAGAGCCCTACGAATAGTCTCTGCACTATCATGCCTGGGAGGATCAAAGAGGGGCAACAATCCAACAAATTGCCATGGACTACCTAGACTTTCTTTTGTTTTCTCAGGGACTTCCTATAGCCATAACATAAGGGAAAAGTTAGAGGGTGTATGTCGTCAAGTGTAAGAACGAAACTAATGAAACATTGACTTCATGCATACATGTATAACCATCACAACTTTTATGCAGGCACTGAAAAATGAAAACTATACTGCATCGAGATTAGTATTGCAACCTGTCTTCCAACAGCCAATGACCGCAGTCCACGTTCAGCAAACTTCTCAATAATGGCATGAACCTTTTTCTTCAAATCTTCCTTGGCATGACAAAGGGTTAAGATCTGTTTTCAAGCAAGTAGTTAAAGAATGAAATAAATGATTAAGCACAATTTATTATTATTATTATTGATTAGTGAGGCAAAATGCCACAAGAAAATAAACAGAAAGTACCTGTTCAGGGGCACCTTTGCTAGCTCGGTGCCATTTTCCATCGGCATCAACGTACGTCAAAGCAGTCCTCTTGTCCACAGGATTGAATGGGAAAAAATGCACCTCTCTGATGCCAGCTCGTGCCTAAAAATACATGTACGTCTTAATATAAGCAATCAATTTATGTTCTTTCTTTTTCCTCCTTCTGCTCTTCCAAAATTAAATCAGTGAACACCAGCGAATCAAGGGAAGAGAAAGAGTTATATACCTCCTTTGGATCTGCAAGCATCCCAACAATGGCAGCGTCAATAGCATCCTGGTTTTCAGTCCTAGAAGCCCTTGCAGCAAGCAACATTACATGTTCTTTATCTACACCATTTGCAAACACCTCGATCAAGTTTTTATCAACACTCAGTTTGTTAAGGGTTAGTGTCCCTGTCTTATCACTGCAGAGCACATCCATGCCAGCCATCTCCTCAATGGCAGTCATTCTCTTGGTAATGGCACCTTGTTGTGATAGCCTGTGTGACCCAATAGCCATTGTCACAGACAAAACAGTGGGCATAGCAATTGGAATACCTCCAATTAAAAGAACTAGGAGGTTATCAATTCCATCCCTATACTTCCTGTGCTGAATTGGGTACATAACAATAATCTCGACCAGCATTCCAATAGCTATGGAACAAATACAGAAGTTCCCAATTGCAGTAAGTACCTTTTGGAAATGCCCAACTTGGTTGGTGCTGTCCACAAGATGGGCAGCCTTTCCAAAAAAGGTATGAACACCGGTAGCAATGACAACAGCTTCAATCTCACCTTGTTTGCAAGTTGAACCAGAGAAAACTTCATCATAAGGATTTTTGGTCACTGGGAGCGATTCTCCAGTAAGGGCAGATTGATCAATCTTTAATGGATCACCCTCAAGAAGGCGGGCATCAGCTGGGATGATATCTCCCAATTTTATACTAATGATATCTCCAGGAACCAGAATGGCAGCATCCTGCTCACTCCATCGGCTATCTCTAAGCACCTATAGAGACAAGCATATGAAACATAAGTTGAAGAAACTAGTACTTATGTAGTCACAATAATGTTCATAGTCACACACATCAATTATGTACCTTAGTTTTGGGTGCAAGACCAGCCATAAGAGCTGCAGCAGCATTACCAGCATTGTTTTCTTCAATGAAACTGATAGTGGAGTTGATTACCAGCAAACAAATAATACCCACAAAGTCTTGCCAATCCGGGGGCTTTTTATCGCCATTGGCCAACGCAATTGCCATTATTGCTGCAGCTTCCATGACCCATGAGAGTGGATTCCACATGAACCCAAGAAACTTGAGTATTTTGCTTTCCTGTTTATTGCAAAGGAAAAAAATTTAATCCATTACAATCTAGATGACATTGTTTATATGCTAAAAAAGCCATTAATCACTGGAGAAAATAACCTTTTTCTCTTCCAATTTGTTTGGACCAAAGATTTGAAGCCTGTTGTTTCCTTCTTCTGTACTTAGACCTTCTCTGCTGCATTTCAACTGCTCAAACACTTCCTCAATAGGAACTTTTTCCTGTGAAATTTAAATAATTTACAATCAAAAGATCAGTACTACTCTTGTACTTGCAAATTATTTTGAACCTAATCACTTACTAATAAGGTGCACTTAAGTCATATGTTGACAGGTTTAAAAAGGTTATACATTCAAGTGTAATAAAAAATTGTAAAATCTTTTAAAACCTCTTACTGTATGCCTAACAGTACCCTACTAATAAATAGAAAATTTGTATAAATTTTTTAAGGGTATCACCATAATTGGTAATAAAAAATTATAAATGAAAATTTACTAACAAGTTTTAAAATAAATTACAAATACGCCTCTTGAGATTTGATTAAAATACAAATTGCCTCCCTGTGATTTGAGAAATTACAAATACCCCTTTAACAAAATTTGTCATTTAACAGAGTTTATAGAAAAAATAAAGTTCCTAATTATCCTCTTATACAATAATGAAATTACCAGAACTATTAATCAAAACATATTGTTGACATCATTAAAAACTGTTAATTGATTTAATGGTTGATTAATAAATATGATTATTTGTTATGCGATTAGAAATTTCATGAGGCGTGGTATAATTTCTAAAATCACAAGGGAAATTAATATTTTAAGTAAATATCGGTGTAATTTACCCAAAATTTTATTAAGACCCACAATTTATGAACATGACTCACTATTTTCATTTCTCATTTGTTGTATGCTTTCAAGCCAAACAAGATTAATGAGACTTCATTAAGACCTCAAAGATTTTCAGGCTGTTTCATAAGAAAAGAAAAGGAAAAAAAATGAAAGTCAACAATTAAAAGTTTAAGATAAAAATTTCGCATTTAATACATTGTGGAATCTGAATTCCAAAGCCCAAAATTGAATAGGACATTCCTGAAGTAGTTGGTTGTATTTTATCAAGCCTATTTAAAAATAAATAACTAAATAATCTTTTTAACGAGTAATTTAGGGTATTGATTAATAAAAGATTAAAATTATTGTGTTTTTTTAAAAAATTTATGGCACATAAATTTGGAAATAAGTACAATCGGTTGAAGCATATTAGCAAGTGCATGTTAATAAAATCCTACAAAACAATTTTTGAACATAAAATAATAAACAAATAAATAAGGGTTAATTATACTTTTATTCCTATAATTTGATCTAAATTTAGTCTCTATAGTTTCACATTTAGCAATTTGGTCTTTACACTTTAAGTTAAGTTTCAATTTGATCATTCCATCTAAATTTCCATTAATTTATTCTGTGTCACTTTATAAAATTGGCAAGTGTCTTAAAATTGTTAATTTTAACCTCAAATTTAGACGTAATGACTAAATTAAAACTGAATTTAAAGTATAGAAACCAAATTATTCAATTTGAAACTAGAGAAACAAAATTTAAATTTAAATCAAATTACAGAAGTGAAAAATATAATTAATCCGATAAATAAATACAGAACTTTGCTCACTAGAGAGTTTTTTTGTCCAGGCCAGCTGATGAAATAATGATCACTCAAGCTGGTTTGGCAACCGTCAAAAAAAGTTAATTTTGGCTAAAAAAATTATACAGTTTAAAAACATGAAATTGGTTTGTCATTAACTAGAAAAGTCAGGTGTCATATTAATTTTTCATTCACAAAAAAATAATTTTTTTCAACAACTTTTTAAACACATTAACTTTTTAAACTCTAATTTTTTTTTTTTAAAGAAAAAACTATTTAAAAAAAAAAGAAAAAAAAAAACCCCCACTCAGAAAATATGAAAATCTAGCTCCGGCAGTGGTGGGTTAATTTCTCAATAATCATAACTTCTTCTTATTATTATTATTATAAAAACTGCATAAGTGCACCTGTATAATGGTGAAGTGCACCTGTATAATGGTGAAAATTATGTTATTTTATATTTTAAGAGTTAATTTACATCAAGGTTTTGCAAAGTGATTCACTGTAATGGTTGCAGTGGCGTGATTGTGGCTGCGAAGTATAAAGGCTATAGCGTAACGATTGCTGTAACTATAACCGTGAATTTTTTATTTTTTATTTTTTGAAAAAACTTATTGATACGCATATTTTTTTTACATATTTTTTTTTCATAATTACATATATTGGGATTTAAAATAGATTTTGATAATTTTTTTTTTAGTTTTTAAGTATGATTCAATATATTTTATATTTTTAAATCACTATGAAAGGATTTTTTTACATTTTCTTTCAATAGTTAATGACTTTATGAATAGTTGATTTTAAATATCTACAAAATTACCAAAACTAACTAAATAAAAAATATTCACAATTACTAAATGAAATTATTATAAAAATAAAAATTGTATCATAAACAAAAAAAAAAAATTTGAGTTATTGATTTTTTTTAAAGACATTTTTTTTAGGCAACACCTTACAACTAACTAAATAAAATCATTTATAATAAAGTATTAAATGAAATAATTATAAAAATAGTGCCATAAACAAAAAAAATATGTTTGAGCTACTAATTTTGTTTTTTTTTAAAGATATTTTTTAGACAATACATTACAATAACAAAATAAAAAATATTTATAATTAAATATTAAATAAAATAATTATAAAAATAAATACAACCACTATTTATATATTTTTTATTTTACATACTAATGTAATGAAATAAAAATTAAAAAATAAATTATAAGAAAAAAATTCATAAAATATTTTTCTTTGAACTTGGATCACTTGAGTATTCATTTTTTTTTTTCTTTTTTTTTTTTTTTGTTTGTAAGCTTTTATTTTTTGAAAAGGAAACTATTCAAAATATTGTAAAGGTATGTAACAGTGTGTAACGAGCAGTTACAACCTTTACGGTACCATTACGACTGTTACATATATGAATTTTCATCGTACCACAAAAGCGAATATAACAGATAGCACCTACCTTACAACTGTTCCGTGATGTCGCTTTCTAAAACCTTGATATACAGTTTTAAAATTAAGAGATAAAATAATATTGATTAATAGCAAAGAAGGTATCTGTGCAATGAACCCAAAAACAACTATAAAATAAAAGAAAGAAAGCGACTTAATAACAATTAGTCACCATACATCAGTTTTCTGAGTTGCATTTTCCAGGTAAAAAAAAAGTAAACTTCACCAATAGGCTCTACATTTTTCTCTTTGTCATTTTGATCTACACTTTTAATTAATTTAATTTTGACTCTTAATTTTAAATTTAAGAAATAAAAAATAAACTTCACCAATAGACCAGTTGACCACTATAACTTTCTTAAAAGCTTAGTCTTAAAAATAGGTTAGGGTTCAACTCTCCTTTAAATAAATTTCACCAATAGGCCTAGTTGGCCACTGTAACTTTTTTAAAAGTTTAGTTTTAAAAAGAGGTTAGGGTTCAACTCTCCTTTAAATAAATTTCACCAATAAGCCTAGTTGACCGCCATAACTTTCTTAAAAGCTTAACTTTAAAGCCTAGTTGACCACCATAACTTTCTTAAAAGCTTAACCTTAAAAGAGGTTAACTCTCCTTTAAATAAATTTCACCATAGGCCTAGTTGACCACCATAACTTTTAAGGCTATGGGTTGTTTGGGATGATTTAAATAAGTATATTTTTTGTCTTTTTACGAAAAGATGTGCAGAAAAATAGAGAGGTGATGTGATGGAAAAAAAGATAAAAAGATGGATTATATAGGGGATGCCAAACTTATCTACTTTTCTGCACATCTTTTCATAAAAAGACAAAAAAATACATTTATTTAGATCATTCTAAACAACTTCTAGTCTTAAAAAAAAGTAGGGTTCAACTGCCTTAAAGAGGAGGTGAATTAGCAGGCAAGCCGGCTTACTCCCATAAGTACTAGCCTAACAATTAACTTCTGCCGATCAAAAACAAAGTTAGTTGAAATTAACCCACTTTTAATTAGATAAATTTATAATTTTATTCTTAAAAACATGAGGCATATTGTTCATGTGTGCATTTTCGAAAAAATAAAATAAAATAAAATAAAATAAAATTCGTCAATGATGTTTCCAATTAAATTAAATTAAGACAAAATTATAAATTCATCATCAAAATCAAATCAATTAAAATTAGGATGAGCAAAAATACACCAGAGTTAAAATATAAAGATTAGTGACGTAATTTAACAACAAAAAGAAAAAAGGAAAAATCCATTTTGAGAAGTAGGAAATAAAGGAAGAAAATAGTGGGAGAGAAAGAGATGATTACCAGATCAATAGTCTCGTTTTTGAGCTCTTCAAGACCGATTGCTTTATCACCAGCCATATCTTCACAACAACAACAAGAAGCTAAGACTAGAGAGAGAGAGAGAGAGAGAGAGGTGTTTGGTTCTGAGGCTGAGTCTCAGTGCCTCCCTCTCTTTATACTTCACCACTCTCAACCCCTTTTGATCATGATTCTCTGCCCGGTTTTGACTCTCTCTCTCTCTTCTCTCTTCACTCTTCTCTGCCCAAAACTACCAAAAATTACTAAATTTATTAATGCTTGGTTGGTCTTTTTTTGAACTAATTTTAAATGGATAATTTACTCCTTAATCTATACAATACAACATATGTTTTTATTCTTTGAAAAAGTCCGGCGGCTCAAAACCCTTCTTAATAACATAATAATAAGACAAATTATACTTCTAGTGCCTATATTTTAATCATTTAATTTTTATGATTGTAACTGATTCGATTTTAGCCTTTAAATTTATAATTTTGTATCAATTTCATCCAATTAATTATTTCCGTTGCTGTTTTTGATAGAAAAAATATTGACGTAAGTAACATGTGTTATGATTTTAAGAATAAATTATAAATTTGCTCAACTTTAGTAAATTAATCTCACTTAACTCAGTGATTTTTTTTGTCAAAAACTCTAATTAAAGTTATCAATTGAATCAAATTGATACAAATCCAAAATTAAAGATCAAAATTTAACCAATTAAAATTAGGATAAATTACACTCACTCTTTCTGAGATTTCTGACAATTACAGGGACCTTTCCTATAGTTTCAATAATTACAAAAATTTCCCTTATTTTTTCTGACATTATCAAGATTTCCCCTCCCGTTAATTTAAGCCAAACAGTTTTAACTTGGTTGTGCAAATGATCAAAATACCATTTACACTTAATATCATTTAATTGTAATTTACCTATATATGAAATTATCATTTTATTTCATATAACGTTTTTTTAGATTTTAGATGTAATAAATAACAAATTATTTGAGTATTTTATTATTTTCAAATAATTTATTTCTTGAAGTAAAATTCTAGGAAAAATTAGTCTAAGGTCCCTCTCCCACTTTTAGTAATGAGAGAGGTCCACGATTTTTTTTTTATAGTCTAAGGTCCCTTCATATATCACGCTGAGTCTCTCATTCACTCTCTCTCTCTCTGTCTCTCTCTCGTCAAACCCTTCGTCTCTCTTCTTTCTTCGTTACATCCATGGCAGAGAGATTAGGGGTTTGGCTCGACGGCCACCATCTGATGACACTGCTCGTCGGCCACCATCTATAAAAGCTGCCCTTTCAGTCTCTTTTGGTCAACGTGCTCCTCATCGCGCATCAACTAGGGATTCATCCCCTGTTCGCCGTACTATGGCACCACCTTCTTATGGTAAAAATGGCAAAGATGATTATTCACGAAGATCTCCCAGCAACCGTCGCAGCCGGAGTCATGATTTGTCTGATCAAGATTATCCAGACCGAGACCAAGACCGAGACCGGGAATGGGACAGGAACAGGGATAGGGATATTTCATTTAATTGTAATTTACCTATATATGAAATTATCATTTTATTTCATATAACGTTTTTTTTAGATTTTAGATGTAATAAATAACAAATTATTTGAGTATTTTATTATTTTCAAATAATTTATTTCTTGAAGTAAAATTCTATTGTAATTAGATGTAAGAAATGACAAATTTAAATAGTTTATTATTCTTAAATAATTTCTTTATCTTTCATTCCCCATTATCTAATTTTAATTTATTGTAATGAGATTAGATATTTTTTTCACTTTTGTATTTATTTTTAAAATTTTTATTATTAAGGTGAGAAATACTGACTTATTTTTTTAGTGATAATTAAAATTTGAAAATAATATAGGATTGTGAAAAGATAAAATTATAATTTTTTAAAATATATTTATGAGGTAACATTCGGTAATTTTTGTAAGTCAATTTTTTTTTTTTTTTTGTAAATATGAAATGTTATTGTGTTTATTTTTCTTTAAAAAAAATTAATACACAAATTTGTTTAAAAACAAAAAAAAACAAATCATGTTTTGTAAGTTGCTATAGTATTGGGTGATGCTAGCTAACATTGATGAAAGAGAAAAAATGATGAAGAAAATTGAGGAAAAAACATAGAGAAGACAACAATTAATAATAATAATAATAATAGTAATAAATTATATGATGTTGCTATTTGCTGCAGTGACACCACGAAAAAATAAATGAGAAAATAAATAGAAAGAAAAATGAAATAAATAAAATAGAAAGAGCGGGATAATTTCTCTGAATATGTATTTTTCATACAAAAAAAAAAATTAAATACCTATATGTATTTTTAAATTTGTATTCAAACTATAATTTCTCAAAATAATTATTTATAAAGTGGTGATATTTTTAAAAAATAAAACATCTTTTGTACTTTGTTTCATAATTTTCAAATAAATGATTGTATTTAATCTAATATAAGGTTTAATGGTGATCAATTTATTAGCTCTTTTTTTTTTTAGATAAGGTAATGTTTGGTTATCCTACTATATATATGCTTGTCTTAACAATTTAGAATTTTTTTAAAATATTGTATAGAATTTAATAATTTTGTTTAACATTATTAAAATAATATACGGGTCTTTATTAATTTTTTGTAAAACCTCAGGAGAGGTGAGTGAAATTTACTATTTTAATATATAAGGGTAATTTTAAAATTTTTTACTCATAGTATATGATGTTAGCATGACATCATCATATTATGTTAAATAAATTAACAGAAAATTAACGGTGGAGAAATCTTAATAATAGTTTCAAAGGTAATGATGGTTTTTGTAATTATTAAAATTACAGAAGATCTCTATAATTATCAAAAAATCTCAAGACAAGTGAGTGTAATTTATCCTTAAAATTTTATGGACCAAAATAAACAATGAGCAAAATATAATGACAACTTAGGCAATTTGTCCTCATTTTAATATTAATTTTATAATTTTTTTAAAGTGTTGTTAGGGATATTAAATTTTTTATCAAATAAATGACTAAATATCTCATATAAGTGTGGGATCTATAATTTTGTGAACTCAATACGTATGTGAGATATTTAGTTATTTATTTAATAAAAAATTTAAGACGTATAACAATTTTTTTTTTAACATGTATTTTTTGTTAAATAATTTTATTCCTACTTCTTTTGTTTTACGTTTTTTTCCTCTCACTTAGCCACTTTCCACATTATTCTCGGTTTAACTCGCAATTGCACGTGGAGTTGTTTTTAGTTTACTAAATTATATAATTTTATTTTTATATATTTATTAGTAGCATAATATCCGTGCAATCATGCTAGAGACCACTAATTTGGTGGATTTAAAACCATCACTAATGAGGTGAAAAAGTCAAAAACAAAAACAAAAAAAAACAAACACAACACATACTGTGGCAGTGGGTGGGACCTATTGCCACATCATTAGTGGTAGCTCCAATTAGAGCTCCCACTCATTTTCCATATCCGTGATATGTACTGTCTTAAAAAATAATTAAAATTTAATTTTAAATATAAATATTGATAAAAAAATAATTTTAAAATATACATGAAAAACAATTTAGAGTTAAATAAATTTGAAATTTTTTATCATAATTTTATCTAAGCCACTTTTTAGTGCCAAGTCATTAAGAATGTGTTCTATATATTAAATAACAAAAACATATGTTATAATTAAGGGTGTAAATGAGCTTAGTCGAGCCAAGCTTTGTTGAGCTCGAACTTGAGTTCGTTTGTTGAGCTCCCACTCATTTTCAACTAACTCGATAAGATTTTTTTTAATATTTTTTATATTATTTAATATATAAATAATGTATTTATACTATTATTTATATATGTTTGTATATTATTTAATATATAAATAATATGTTTATTATATAATTTAAATAAAGATAAACAAATCGAACTTGACGAGTCGAATTGAGCCCTTAACAAGCCGAGCCAAGCATATTCGTGAACATATAATTTAAATAAAGATAAACAAATCGAACTTAACGAGTCGAATTGAGCCCTTAACAAGCCGAGCCAAGCATATTCGTGAACAGCTTGATTCATTTACAACCCTATTATAAGGTAATTGATAAAGATTTAAGAAAACTAATATGATAAATTACAAATTTAAATATATTTTGTTCTTGAAATTTCTTAATTATAATTTGCTTTATATCAAAGTTCATTCGATGCCAAAGCTAATCACATGTGTCAATTATTATTTATTTTTGGTTTTTTTTTTTAAACCTAACAAAAATTGTTAAAATAAAAAATAAAGTAGAGAATGAAATTATAAAAAAATAAAATAAAATAAAGAAAAAGTGTGGCCCCTTTCTTAAGCCACCTCTCAAATCAATTTTCATAACGTTATCGTGCTTTAGATATTTCTAATCACATTCGACTATTTTTTCAGTCGTCATTTGTCATTCATCTTTCTATTTTCACTATTCTAATCTAACTTAACTCTTGACAACCATTTTGATCCCTCTTCGCTAATTGTTTTTATCTTTTTTATGCTAAAGGTATTGGGTAACAAATTGTGAAGTCAACTTGAGCACAAACTATCTCATATTACAATTCATACAATCCCTACACCAATATATATATATATATATATATATATAATAAAAATAAAAATAAAAATAAAAATTGAATTGAAAACCAAAACAAATAAATGAAAAAAAAAAATAGAAGTTGAGGGCTTAACTACATATACATTCATTCACGTCTCACGGATTGACTTTTCTATGGCAACTTTATATATTGTCATTGTTGAAAATAATGTAACACGATCCATAATGGAGTGAGATGGAGTAAGTATCAAGTTATACCAAGAGAAGGCCTAAGATAATAGAAGATATTAGTTTCAGTAAAAATCACCTTTCATAGTTTTGTTCTTTAGAGTCATTCCTAGGAAAGTATCTAGGTTATCTTGATTGAATACATTATCCTTACTATAGTGGATTTCAATCTATTCTGTTCCTGCGAATGATCATATGTTCGATTCATTCTGTAAAAAAAATTAAATATAAATATCAAATATTAAGTGCTATGAAATGTTTAAAGTGATAGGAAGAAAATGGTGATTTGTAGAGAAAAATAGTGTAAACTTGTTGAGTAATATTGAGAGTTAATGAGATAATAATGGTTGAAAATAAAGGTAGAGAAAAAATAATGGAATAGGAAATAGAGATAATAATGGTGAAAAACAGTGAAAACAAAGATAGATAATGATGGTGTAAACTTGCTGAGTATTACAAAGGGTTAAAAATG